CAAAGGGAGGGAAGGGGGGGGGGGGGGGGGGGACACAGCGGGACGTCACTTACATTCGCGGCCCCCGCTCGGAGGAGAACTCGCAGTGGAAGATCACTACCACTCGCTTAGAGCCGTGAGATTGGATGGGGCTCTTCAGCAGGTAGTCTTGCAGCTCCTGCTCCATGTGTAGGTTGATGGCACCCTGCAAGAAAGACCCAACACGCGTCACATGTACAGGCTGCCACTGCGGCATCAATAAAACATGCAGAGGTTACAAAATCCGGAGGGAGCGGCGGCCTGTATAGTCCCAAATCCCCGGTCTGCACAATTTCCGTGCTCTACAGCGAGATAAAGTGTTCCAGTAGACGTCACAGCACCCAGCCTCCAGCGTTCTATGACCACATCCCAGACATGCATCCTGAGCAGCCAACGGCTGCTGCAACTCCGTATCCAAGCAACTGATCAGCAGATTGCACAGAGAACAGGGCCAACAGGGATTCTAGAGATGCATTCTTTCATATGACAGCACCCGACAGCAGCCCTAAAGATCACGGCCACATACGGCAGAGCAAGCAACAGTACCAATCGGGAGGAAAGGGATGATCGACGTTCAGACAGGACATGAAAGCAGACTCAAGATGGCTGCAGTATGAAGGGTTCTACTGTGGAGATGGAGGTTACCAGGGAATAAAAAGTAGGGATGCACCGATACTAGTATTGATAGCGAGTACTGATACTCGCTCAGATGCCTAGCCCGAGCACTTCCGGTATCATTACACGCTGCCCAGTTTCCCGATTGGCCGGGATGCTCCATGCTCTCTCGTCACTTGTGACTTCCCGGCCAATCAGGATGCCGGGCAGCGTGTAATGACGCAGCGCCCGGCATTCTGATTGGCCGGGAAGCTGGCTTCATCCCCCTTCGTCATGGAGCCGGCTAGATCAGAAAGCAGGGCGTCGCGTCATTACACGGCGCCCAGCTTCCCGATTGGCCTGCCAGACGGCTCAGGCTGGGTACCGGAGGAAGGCGGCGTTCTGGCTGGAGAGGCCCCGGGGGCGACAGGCTGGACATACTAAGGTAAGAGGGGACTTTCTTGTTAATCGGGAAGCCGGGTGGCGACTCTTTACAGGTCACCTGGCTTCCTGAATGGGACTTCCGTTACTCCGTAATTGGTATCGGCGAGTACCAAATTTTTTTTTTTTTTTATCGGTACCAAAATACCGGTATCGGTGCAAACCTAATAAAAAGTAATCAGCTTTACCACAGGAGAGGACTTGTGTGGGGGGCGGGGGGGACAGTAAGGTTGGAGTTCAGCTTTAACGTTTACAGGAAGCAGCAACATGTGCCGAGTGAAGCAGTTCCAGCCGAGTGTGACCATGGACAGGCACAGCTCTCCCCCTACCAGTCCAATATTTCAGATCTTCCGCTGGTGGCAAGCCCTGGTGTAGGGGGGCATTTTAGAACATCTCTCATTTGTGGACCTGAACCAACGGTTAGTGGGCAGGAAGGAGAAGCAGCAACATTGGTGTCAGACCCCCCCCCCACCCCCACAATTCAGAGGATGAAGCAGAAGACTCGGCAGCCTGAACGTCAATTAGCTCACCTTTATGTGACCGCCATCATACTCGTAGGGGTATCTGCAGTCAATGATGACACATCGCTCAATGAAAGGGTCATAGTGCCCATTTGATATCTTTATCATCTGTGGAGAGCAATGGCAGACAAGGGGAGGTCGTCAAGAGACCGGGACAGACAAGGGGAGGTCGTCAAGAGACCGGGACAGACAAGGGGAGGACGTCAAGAGACCGGGACAGACAAGGGGAGGACGTCAAGAGACCGGGACAGACAAGGGGAGGACGTCAAGAGACCGGGACAGACAAGGGGAGGACGTCAAGAGACCGGGACAGACAAGGGGAGGACGTCAAGAGACCGGGACAGACAAGGGGAGGACGTCAAGAGACCGGGACAGACAAGGGGAGGACGTCAAGAGACCGGGACAGACAAGGGGAGGACGTCAAGTGGGGGGGGGGGTCGTCAGAGACCGGGACACACAAGGGTTCAGAATGACTCACCATCTCCGGGGTGATGTACCGTAGCTCTTGGTGTTTCCCGCTCACGGTGGGAAAGAGGAAGACCTGGGGAAGGAATGGAGAGAGTCATTACTAGACAGACCCGAGCACTGGTAAGACTCTACTCATCATACCGCCGGAGCCAGTACCTGAGAGAAGTCTCCGATCAGATCCCTTTGGTCGCTGTCAAATATATTTTCTATGGTCTCTCTGGAGAAGGATTGCGAGCGGGCCAGGTGCGCAGTCTGTGGGTGAAGAGGGAGGACAGTCAGCATCTCAAAATAAGAGAGAACATCTTCAGGACACGCTGCGCCATACACGCACCCTTTCAGCGTCATGGTCATCCGTCACCTCAAACATGCTGCGCCGCCTCTTGATTTTATCCGGCACGTCTCCCTGTGCCCTCTCCGTCCTCTTCAGCGTAGGTCTGGACAGAGGGGATTCGGCCTCATAACACTGCAGAGATACAACAGACCTTCAGCACAATGTCCTCTACATCAGAGGAGAGGAAAGTAGGAGGGGGGGGGGGGGTCATCTACTCACCGGCCCCATGCGTCTTATAACAAGGGGAGCCGTCAGGAGACTGGCAACGCCGAGAGGGATCTCCGGCTCTGTCTGGAGGAGGAAACAAACAACATTTACTATATTTACCGTTAACCCCGGTCCTGCAGAATACAAGGGAGCGAAGAGGCGGACCTCAAATCGCATGCCGCCAGTGCAGCCGCCAATGACTCCCAGTCACATAGCAAGATATACACATCAGAACTGGGCATTAAAGGGGTTCTAAAGCCTCTGTTTTTTTTTTTCATCGATGTCGAGATCCGCCCAGCTGCGTGAGTGACAGCTGGTTCTTCCTATCTAGAGGCAGAGCCAGCTGTACCCGCCCCCTCCCGTTCAGCGCCGGCGGATCGGGGAGAATCCAGCCCCTCCCCCATCAGAATCGAGAGGTGAGCGAACGCCGGTATGTGTTCTCTCACCTCCCAATCTACTGAGCCGACCTGTGACAGTCTCATTGCCACACGTCGGCTAGAACTATGAGGTGAGTGTAACTCACGCACCTCATAGTTCTCCTTTAAACGTCGTCCTCTATATTTCACTGTGCACACAATGCAGAACACAGGCGAATGTTTATTTGTCTTTATGTGTGCAATGAAGTGGATTTAAAAAGCCTTTTTGTTTGATAGACTGGAGAAGGGTGAGGATCTCAAATGTGTATTGCTCTCTCCCCATTGGCGGGAGTCACTTCCTGCCCCAACTATGGGAAACTAAAGCTTTTGGACACCAATACATTATACAAACTTGCTGGTAGTTCCTTTCCACCTATTCCTTCATACTCCGAGTATAGTGACATGCACGCCCTACGGCGGGTGTCAGTATTACACGCCCTCACCTCTGTATCGTCTCCATCCAGCATATCCAGGAAGCCATCATCACTGCTCTCAGTACTGGTGGAAGTGCAGGAAGATTTCCTTACGAATGGCAAATCACAAGATCGAATCTCAAAATCCTTCACAGGTGAAGAAAACTAGGGAGAAAAATAACCAGGTCAAGCTTCAAATGTGAAATGAACAAAAATATAATTGTGCCCAAACGGTATCCCCCCCCCCAAAAAAAAAAATCAAGCAATTTCTCCTTAGAAATGGCTGCGCACCTTTCCCCGCGGCCAGGCAACTGCCCATACCAGGAGAGCGCCTTCCCCGCGGCCAGGCAACTGCCCATACCAGGAGAGCGCCTTCCCCGCGGCCAGGCAACTGCCCATACCAGGAGAGCGCCTTCCCCGCGGCCAGGCAACTGCCCATACCAGGAGAGCGCCTTCCCCGCGGCCAGGCAACTGCCCATACCAGGAGAGCGCCTTCCCCGCGCCCAGGCAACTGCCCATACCAGGAGAGCGCCTTCCCCGCGCCCAGGCAACTGCCCATACCGGCGCACCTTGCCCCCGCAGCCAGGCAACTGCCCATACCGGCGCACCTTGCCCCCGCAGCCAGGCAACTGCCCATACCGGCGCATCTTATAGCTATATCCGCAGTGTGAAATCATCTAAGGCACTGCTGCCTCTGACGGCTTGTTCACCAGAATTGGTGTGAGATTTGGCAACGTCGCTTGTTGTGCTGCTCACTGCCCTTTACTGGCGGCTCCAACATGAGGAAGCAAAGCCCAGCCCCGCCTGTGCAAACCATCAGCAGTACCGGTCCTCTTCAGTGAAAACCCACAACAAAGGAAGAGTTGCCACTTTCAGAGGAACAGACAATATTATTCCAGACAAGAGCTACAGCCTACCATACATGCCGGAGCCGACTTCTGCCTGTGCACCAGAGCCTCCTTCCCACTGGCATGCAACCGTGAGCGCACAGTGCCTCTGGGTCTTACTGGCAGCTTGAACTGGAAGGGCTCCTAAAAAAAATAAATTAAAAAAATTCAGAGTTAGGACTTACCGGTAACTCTATTTCCATTAGTCTTCCAGGACAGCATCACGAGATGGATAAAGCATCCAACACCAAGGGACCCCAGGTGGAGGAAAAGAAAAATCAGGAGGTAACAGGGAGGTAAGATAGTACACATCTTCCATACCTGAGCCGTGCTGGTGCTTGGAAGACCGGTATCCGCAGTCACTGCAAGTTGCAGAGGTAACTCCAGGATCCATGTCCGCAGAGCCTGTAGAAGAGAAGCCTGCCAGCGTTTCCTCTCAGTCACTACTGAGATCCATGCTGCATTAAGCACCAGCCGAGCCCTCCCCTTCCTGCTGCGCCGAAAACGAGGCTTGGAACGCACAAGCCCGGCGCCCGGAAATGACGTCACCCGCGCCGGAAGTGACGTACGCGGCCACCCGGCCTGGCCGTGGAACACGTCCCGAGGCCCTGAGAACCGGACAGACCCCTCTGAACGGCGGTCCACCGTTTCCCCTGACCAGCCAAGGGGGTTTCGTCCTCCCGGTACCGGCCCGCACTGGGCACTGAAGGGGGAAAGGAAGCCAGCCTCATCTCCTGCAGCGCTAGGAGAATCCCTGGGGCTCACACAAGGTAGGCAAACCTACCCCTCTGCCTTACACAGGCAGGCTATACATAAAAGGAAGACTTCCCGGGCAGTATCACCACATGGAAGCCCCTCTCAGCGTTCTGTGACGCGCTCCCCAGCTTGACTGAGGAAACACAAAAGACTGAGGGAGTGGAGGAGAGGAGGGTCTTTTAAACAGATTAAGTGACGTGTTTCCTGTGTGTGGGGGAGGAGATTCCATCTCGTGATGCTGTGCTGGAAGACGTTATGGGAAATTATATGATAAATGATCAACTCAATAGCAAGTCTGACATTACACTCGGGGGAGGGGCCCCAGAAACAAAACTTTGCATCAATCTCTTCTGGAATTAACCATGCTATGAGACACAGGGGTCAGAGGTAACGCAAGCTGAGGATTGTTGGCAGGAAACCTTCACATGTATATCACAAAGCCCTACACTGGCAATCTAGGCTAAAGAGGGTGAAGATAAGAATCTTAAAATGCATTACGTGTCCCCGGAACCCCTGAAGACAGACTTACACCCAGCCCGCTATATCTTTCCATTGGCGCTAAAACCCTGGTGCCCAACACAGCGTGCCAGCGTCTGGCATCAGGTAAACAAAAGCTTCTGCTCCTGGCACCACCGCAGCTAAAGTATAGGGCTGCAACAACTAATCGACATAATCGATTATTGAAAAAGTTGTCAACTTTTTCAATAATCGATTAATCGAATTCCGATCAGTTGGCCCTGTTCACAGCTCCACACGCTGTGCGCCGCACCTCCTCCCCACCTCACGCTCGACGCTGCCAGACCCGCTCGCACCCACGCGCCGCACCTCCTCCCCGCCTCACATTTCCTGCACATCCACGATCGGCAAGGCACGCGGGGAGGTGTAGTAAGGAGGAGCAGGGGCGGGGGGATGAGAGACGCTGTGTATAATGTGCTTTTGCTGGGTTTTGTAGTCCTCCATAGCCAGTGCCATTCTGCATTCATTGCTGTATAATTTTACACTTTCCATTTCACTATATTGCACACCACCACTATCTTTTTTCTTTTTTACTTCCACCGCTCCAAGCTTGCTCCTGTGATGGACTACAATCTCAATACAAACTAGTAGTTCTATCACTGGAGCCATTTTTTAAACTTTATTTTATTGTTTATCCGATTAACCGATTAATCGAACTTAATAATCGGCTAACTAATCGATTTTGAAAATAATCGTTAGCTGCAGCTCTACTAAAGTATAAATAGCGCCGGCCGCATCGCAATGCAGGCGCAGCTCAAATGTACACACAAGCCGACTAGTGTGCAGACCTGCCCGTTGTTAGCTGCACACCGGCTTCAGTGCCGCCCAGGCGGGAGGTAGGTGTAGTAGGTGGTGCCGTTCACATGGGCAGGAGGCGATCAGGGGACCCAACAGATGCTGTCTATTCCATGAACAAATTGCCCTATTAATCGCCCCAGACAGCCCGAGATTTCCGCTTCGTCAGCATCATATTTTACACTTACATTTTCTTTGTTTTCCGAGTCACTCAGATGAAACAATTCACAGTCCATCGATTCCGACAGGTTCCGCCGAAAAGAGAAGCCGCTTTGCTGCAGAGAGAAAGACAAAAGACCGAACAGAACATTTTTATAAGACGCTTCAGCGTGCACAGAACATTTACATTGGCGTGTTCAGGAATTTGAAGCCGAAAAAGGTTCCGGATTCCAAGGGCCTGTTACCGACATGATGCGGCATGACTGGTGCAATGCATCATCGCTACATCATGCCGCCACTCTCCCGTATAGTGCAAGAGCTGCTCAGTGCTGCATCCTGAACGGCCAGTAAAGGCAGCGGGCTATGATCACCAATCTACGAGACCACTTCACTTAGTCACCTGTTTTGCTTGACTGTTTTGGTGCAGTGACGCATGGGGGGGGTCTCAGCTGCCATTGGGATGTGCGTGATCCTTTGTGCGTTCCGGTGCCTTTAGAGAACTATGGGGTCAGTGTTTTTCCCCCCATTAGTTCTCCTTAGGGTAACGGGAGGACACAAACTAGCGTCCTCCTGTCACCCTAAGCTCAGTATATAGGGAGCTACAGCTCGCGGTATACTGAGACGCCGCAGTGGATCCCGACATGGACTTCGGGATCCGCCCAGCTGTGTCAGTGACAGCTGGCTCTGCCTATCTAGAGGCAGAGCCAGCTGCACCCGCCCCCTCCCGTTCCGCCAGTCAGCGCTGGAGGATCGGAGCGGGGAGCGGGGAATCCAGCCTCTCCTCCTTTCACAGCAGAGAGCCGTGACAGGATCGAGAGGTGAGCGGACGCTGGTATGTGTTCTCTCACCTCCCGATCTACTGAGCCGACCTGTGACAGTCTCGTTGTCACAGGTCGGCTAGAACTATGAGGGGAGTGGAAATCACTCATCTCATAGTTCTCCTTTATGGGAGGTCGGGCTTCCTCCTGACAAACCTGCACCCAATTTTATCTTCTGCCCCATGTGCTCCAAGATGGAGGCTCTGATGAGTTAGGACCGCACTATAAGAGGTGCCTCGGCGCATCTTTCACATGTTCTGCAGAAGACGTGTATCTAAACCTCCGTTTTTAACCTTAGCGTTGAGACGAGTTTTTTTTACATGCCGGCTGGCGAGTGTGCCGGGGGAAACTTTTTTGCTATTTTACTGTTAAAAGCCCATTCCGTGTGCACCGCGCTGTAAAGCTGGTGACGAATTGATGAGTGCGTTTATCATCCGTTTTGTTTCACTGCACATGCCAAACACCCCCCATACCACAAGACGATCTTGTCCAACCCCAACCGTACCACATCTGAAGTAATAGACTCACCGGCATGGATCTCCTTCTCCCGAGAGGCAGCTTGGCACTGAAAAGACACAGAAAAATCTTTACAGAAAAGCTCAACGACTATACAACACCGTCTGTAGCAGAAGAGTGGAAGAGTCACAGCATAGATGCCCCATCACACAGAGCACCTCAAGAGGGCAACAGCGAGCACGTCACACCAGTCCACAGATCAGGACTAATGGTCTGTAGCAGCTGAGAACTGTTAGGGGTTGTTTTGCAGATGGGATCGGGGCCCATGTAAAAAGAAAACCTCTCCCAATATGTGCCGACAGAGTCTACCTGCATTTCCATTGTCTGAAATGGAGTTCTGAATGGGGAAGGAGCAACAGTTATTTTACAGACTTGCTGCAGAGATGTGGGGGAAGGGAGAGAGGGTTAGTGTTCATTATCCATAGGACACCCACTTGTTCTCGGCACCGGAACATTTCTGGCGTGAGAACACATGAGCAGCCAGTAGGAAACATGCGGCTGCCATTAATGAGCCCCAATACCCCGAATCACAGGCCTGCAACTAAGCAGAAACGTAGCTTCTTCCATGTACGTGGCAGGTTGTGGACTGAATCCAAGGATCCCCATGACCAGACTTTCCAGAACCTGCAATTTTAGACTTCATGCTCCTCTCCGGAAGTATTTCCTTTAAGCATCCCCCTTAAAAAGGAGAACTATGAGGCAAGTGTTTTTCCCCATAGTTCTCCTAAGGGTCACAGGAGCACATATACTAGCGTCCTCCCGTCACCCTAAAGCTCGGTATATCGCGAGCTACAGCTCATTGTATACCGAGACCGCCGCAGTCGGGACGGATCCCGACATTACTGTCGAGATCCACCCAGCTGCGCGAGTGACAGCGGGCTCTGCCTATCTAGAGGCAGAGCCAGCTATAGCCACCCCCTCCCCTGTCACCAGTCAGGGCTGGAGGATCAGAGCGAATCAGTGCAGGGAGCCGTGAGGGACAGTCACGGCTCTCTGCAGGGACAGGGTCGAGAAGTGAGCGAGCGCCGGTATGTGTTCGCTCACTTCCCGATCTATTGAGCCGACCTGTGACAAATTGTCACACGTCGCCTCGAACTATGAGGATGAGTGAAAAGTCACTCACCTCAGTTCTCCTTTAATGCCTTGACCTGGAAGCTGGCAACACAGGCAGCAATAAGCCTGGCAGGGGACCTAACCCCCCCCCTCCCCCTTATGAAGGCTATGGAGCATGCTGGCACGAGAGCCTCTTTAGCCTTCCTAAAAAAGTGCACTGCAAGTAAATCCAATTTCAGCCCTATACTAACCTACCCCTGTGCAGCAGTATGCTCACCATATACTTTGTTGGAAGCAGCCATCCCAAAACAGGGCCTACACCAAATAGAACCCAAACCCAACAGCAGGCACCAAATACTAACCCGGTCATCAGGGGCATTTTCATAATGCATGTGGGGAGAATTAAACAGCAAGCACACCCCGACACTGAAGGTTTCCTCTTCTAGGGCTACACCAATAACAATCTGTGCTAAAATTTAGAGAATTCTCTCCAATTTGAGCAGCTGCTGATTGGACGGAGCAATGAACGGCTGATGAAGCTGGTGGGGTACCTGAAGTCACCGAGGACCAGTCGGATCAGACTCATGTTAGTGTACACACGCTCTTAAGGTGCCCGTGCAGTGTATGGAAGGCGTGCAACCGTTTCTACTGTACGGTCGCACGTCTTCCGTCGAACCAGCAGGCTGGAAAACCCGCCGGGAATCGTACGATTCTCGGCGAGTGAGTGGCCTGCTGGTTCGACAACTGCCGAACGGGCCACTGCCCGTTTGCAGTCATCGTAAGCCCGCCCCTCAGGGGGGCGGGATTGCGATCTGCATGTCCAAGATGGGCAGATCGTACGTTTTTTTTTAAGTACAGTGTATGGCCACCTTTATTTTACATCAGTTTTGGTTTCTAGGGGGTAAAGGTCAGACATCTTTGATGCAGAATGCACGCCGCTGCCCCGTCTATGGGGGTAGAAGGACATCTCCGGGGTATCAGTGTAATTCAAGGCGGAGAACCACTTACTTCACGCATCGGCCAGAGTCAAACATCGCCTTTTCGAACCTGAAACGTACAACATAAAAAAGGAGTTATTTCAGACCACGCAGGGCAAGATTGGAGTGTAACCACAGCAATACAGGTCTCAGATTCCACAGGAACCAACAGACAACCCAACAACAAACTTCCCGATCGTCATTATAACCTCCTCTAGTCTGTGGCTCGTGACCAACACAAATGACAAGTGACCAGCAACACAGATTATATTCTAGGAGGACAATGCCATCCCACCATACAGAGGACTACACAAGGAGTCAATGCCTGCCCAACTCCTACACCCCCCTGGACAGACAAGAGCCCCGCAAACTCCTCAACTTTCATTCTCCCGGCCCGAGCAGAGCAACTCAAATAGCAAAATTTTGACCTTGTGAAAAGTTGGACCTCGCAGAGGGACTGCTGGGTGCGGCTGTGGCAGCCAAGAGTCCCACTATGAGGCTTATGATGTCCATTGCAAACAAACTACAGATTTGCTTAAATGCAAACCCCACTGATGGCACATCTAGCCGTTCGGCTGTCCAGATGTGAAATACCCGGCATCTCCTGTTGGGGGGGGGCATGCAAGACTTGCTTTCCTCCCACATGACCGTGCTGGTGCTTGGTTGAGCACAAAGGGGCAGGGAGCAACTGCCGAGCCACAAGAGTAAGGGAACGAGCAGGTACTTCTCTTTGCTGCAGGGACTGTGGCATTAAAGGGGAGGACCCCCCTAAATGGCTGTCACTAGAGTGGCCTTCTTGCTCTTTACCCGGCCTGAGCAGAGGAGACTTAAAAACTTTGGGGTGAGCAAGCGAGGACAGAAGGGAAATTCCTTTGCGAGCTTCATTTTGCAGATGCAACTTCCAGGGCAGTCAACAAGATCATTGCTGCACGAGATATCGGTCCTGGAACCATCATGGAGGATAGGAAGTGGCTTTTTTTAAGCAC